AAGTATATAAACGTCAAATCGCTATGTTGTACAACTGAAACTAATATAATTCTGTATGTCACTATAGTGCAATGAAAAAGAGAAAAAAACTATGAATAACAAATAAATAAATAATAAAAATAAACTGGCATAATAGAATGAATACAGTTGAAATTTCGATCCATGGTTGGTTGAATCCACGGATATGAAACACATGACTATGAAGGGCTGACTGCATTCCCTGTTTAAATAATGCTACACTGAACTACTTTCTTGTGCTTAACTTATTATCTTCTTATAAAACATTCCAAAAGTGGAATTACTGGTTGAAGTTTATGTGAATTTAATTTTTTTAGACATATGGCAAAATTGCTCTCTAAAAAGTTTACACACCCACTAACAATACCTTTTCACCAGTAATTAGTATTAAATTTTTACTAGTCTTCCTTGTGAAAATGATATCTTATTTAAATTGTATTTCTATAATTAATTATACAATTGAAATTGCACAAATTTCATATGCTTACTGATCTTTTGTGGTTCTTCTTTTAATTGCCTGTTCATGTCTGTTGCCCATCTTTCTGTTGTATTGTTCATTGTTATATGTCAAAGAAATTGACCACGGCTTTTACATACTTGATACTGATATGTATTTTTTAGTTCATGATTGTCTTTAAATTCTATTATTATGTTTGTTTCACATAAGAAAGTTTAAATTTTTTCTAGTCAAGTGTCAGAATTTTTGCTTATGTATTCTTTATTGTCATGTTTTAAAAATCCCTTTTGGACCTTCAAAAATTAAAAAATGTTCACCTACAATATTTCAATATCTAACAATATTTCAATAATTCCTTTTTGTTTTTTTTATTGACATATTTAATCCATCTGGAATTTATTTTGGTTTCAACTAGTAATTTAACTTTATTATCTTTTCCAAATGAATAACGAGTTGTTCTGACACCATTTAATGAATAAATCATCCTTTCTTTACTGATTTAGAATGACATATTACATGTGCAGAGTCTGTTTTTGGCTTTTCTGGTCTCTTGCACTGATAGGTCTATGCTGAGTCAATACCAAATTGTTGTAATTATTATGGCATTATAATACTTTAAATGTCTAGTAGGAAAAGTCTCATTACTCTTCTTTTTCAAAAATATCTTGGCAATATCACACATTTTATTCCTTTAGATAAACTTTGGGATAATGTTGCCAAAATTTTGTTTGGATTGGTTTAAATTTATAGATTTGACTGGGGAAAATACTGGCATCCTTGCAGTATTGCATCTTCCCATCCAGAAACACTGTACATCTTTCCATTTAATTCCAATCTTTTTTTACATACCTCAATAAAGGTGTTTTGTTTTGTTTTGTTTTTAGTTTTGTTTATATAGGCCCTACACTAACACTCTCTTTATGAAGCATGAGAAGTCCTACTTCTTCAGTCTTCTCTATAGGTTCATAATAAAGATGATGACTTGACCCTCTTCTCATTTGCATGATGTGTTGCCACAGATGGTGGGTAACTCCCCTACTTTACCTCCTCAGCTCTAAATAGGATTTTTCACAATGAACAAATTGAAAAAAACCTAATCAGACGTTGACCTCAACTCATACTGCATGGCAGCACCAAAGGGGCTGACAGAAAACAATAGAAATGGGGAGTCTCTGGAGAAAATATCTGAAGCCTGTCCTGTGACCTTTGTTTCTGCTGGAGCTTTGAATCAGACTTAAGGTTTATGATGGAAGAATAGGACCCATGAAGAAAAATGCAGAACACTATCAGGCAGTCAAGAATTTCAGAGCCAGCTGGCATGCAGAGGGCCTCATATCAGTTCATTATGTGACCATTCACAGGGATAAAGTGTTTGAGCTGTTCTAATAAGAGAGTTATCAAGTATTTAAATGTGCGATCTGTTTGTAGTTCTAGAGTTTGGACTTACCTCCTTCAGCATGTGAGAGGGGTTTTTATATTTTGCCAGAGTTTTCACAATGACATTTTTTGTGAGACTGATTATAGGTTGTTGATAAAATTCTGCTGTTGGAGGTCAACAGTGTCAAAGAGCCAGGTGTAATGTTTGTAGAATCTGAGGAGGAGAAGAAGATGGTTTGTAGTTTGTGTTCTCTATGTTAATTATTCAGTCACCTTGGCTACAGCATGGGAACAGAGGACCTTCTAGGACCATCTTGGAGCAGGCCCAGATCCCATTTACACAGTTCTTTTGTCAACTAAGAAGGCCATACACTTACTAGATAATAAACAAAGATACTTAACATCCTCAGAGTGCTCAGTCTTGAGACTACACCCACCCACAACATGTCTCCTTTGGATGCATTTACTAGATCTTGTGCTGGCTCTACCAACTTCCTGTGATTTGGGGCATGTCATTTCAATACCTTGAGGCCATTTTCATAACTGAAGAGTCAAGCAGTACTTTGGGACATTTTATTAGAAGGCTTTTAAAGTCCTTTACAGATCAAAGATTATCTATTTTTAATAATATATAATTATTATGTATTATTACCAATGGGTCAAAGCTACAAGGAGACAGACACTGAGTTTCCTGGAAGTAAGAGCATCATAACAGAGTCCAGAAATGAAGTGGGCTGCAATTCAAGAAAAGGTGGGGCAGGGATGCTATAGAGGGGATTCAAGCTTTTTATGGAGAAGTAGGGGTGGTGTGACCAGTGTTTAAAATTCTTTCCAATATGTAAGATTCATAGCCTTATGGACTATGATATGGAACAAATAAACTGTGTGGTGCCATGCAGGTCAATTTCATTTTAATGAGCATCATTTTCTTCAGCTGTATAATGCGGTATATAGTAATCCCTGTTATACTTAATTTGTACAAGATTCTTATTAACTTTTGTAAGCTAATCAAATGGGATGGATTTTTATTTTATTATGTTTTATATTAGGTTTTAATTTATTATTACTTTATGTTATTATATGTTATTTATAATACATAAATAAATAGGTATTATATAGTAGAGTGTAAATGTAACCTTTATATGCACTAGGAAACCAAAAATTCATGTGACTCCCTTTACTGGCATATTCACTTTATTGCAGTAGTCTGGAACCACACCCACAATATGTCTGAGGTCTGCCTGTAGTCTTGAGGTTTGCAGCAGCACTGATACTGTGGGGGTGTCCCAAGTCTAGAATACCCACAGCACTGGAAATGAACCCACTGGAATTTGGTACAGGGCCTGCCTTCTAGGAGTTGACACCTAAAGGCTATATGACAATCATCAAAGCACCATCCATTCTGTGCACATATTACAGTCCTCAGTTTGCAGCAGAAAGAAGCTGTTAGCAAATTATGTGTTCTATTTATACAAGTAAAATCCTGCAGTATGGTAGAAAGGGTATTGGCCTAGAGGCCTTAGTTTTTTCATTGTTGAGTGAAAGTGATGACAGTACCTACCTCAAAGCATTGCCAAGGTGATTTATTTAAATAGCATATGTAAACCCCCTCACACAGGCTTTGTTCATAGTAAGTGCCTATTAAATGGTAGTTTTTCTTCCTTAAGGTGCCTCCAATTCAGTGTTCTTCAGGCAAGTCACCTCCCCAGAACTCATCGTTTGAATGAAAGTGTTGTCCTGGGGTGATTTTTAATAGTTCCTTCAAGCCCAGCATTTCAGAGTCCTTTGACAAAGGGAAGAGAAAGAGGGAGGGAGGGAGGGAAGGAAAAAGAAAAGGGGAGAGGAAGGAAAAGAAAATTTTGCTAACCTGGTTACAATGAATCTCCTACAAAAAATAACCTACTACAATAGATGTGACTGTAATGTAAATTTTAGACTGAGTGAAGAGAGAGGAAAGCTGAGCTATAGCTAAATTTGTGGGCTTTTCCCCCGATATCAAATAGCAATTGTGCTTCATTTTTTATTCCTTTTCTCTACCACAAACATTCTTACTCTGCCAAAAGAAGCCTCCTTAAAATCTCAGTCTATCCCATAAAGTAAAGCACAGAAGTAAATGAGAGAAAAAATACCAAGGACTTGGAGAAAGAAAGGGGTGCGATGAAGGGATGCACAGGCTCAGTCTGGGGGGCAGGGCCACAAGTGTAAGTTCTGCATGTTTCAGAGCAACAGGGTATGTATCGCTGTCTATTTCTGCTGGTGACCCTATGTGCCTCTGGATCTCTCTGTTCCACTTGAGTATTCATTCAGTCAGTGTTTATTGAAGGCCTACTGTGTGCCAGGCCTGTGCGAGGAGCAAGGAGACAAAGTATTGAGTGAAATATGTGTTTCTGAGTGGACCTCCATGTTTTTCTTTGAACAGCTATAATCCTAAGGATTTCTGAGTCTGAGAATGTGTGTGGTGTGTTTGTGTGTGTATATTTCTGTGTATCTCTCACAACTTCACATGTGCATGACAGTGATTGTTTTTCTTCTGCTATCTTCAGAGGACTTCCTTTCATTTGCTGTGTTCACTTTGCAAAGAGTGGGCTTTATCTGTTTGATTTTTACAACCTGAAGGATTGAGGGTATGATCACTAATATTTTAAAAACAATTAAAAATCACATGGAGTTCTCTTTTATAGAAGGCTTAATTGTATTATGAAAAATAAGCATGTTATTAGCTCAAGTATGATCCTATGATGATTACAGAAGTCAGGAGAAGGGAATATTGCCTGAGCCCAAGTCTCTGCTATGCCATGCTAAAGGAATGACAATTTCCACCATATTTTCTCATGGACATTATTGACTTTTAGTAAAGAGCATCTTATTTAAAAAGCCAGTACGTAATCCTAATAAAGGAGTATCAGCAGGACCTGAATTGTTCATCCCTTTGAAAAACACCTATGAAAACCAAACAATATAGCATTGAATTAAGCCATCCTGGTTTAATAGTTAGAGTCTTTGTGATCAAATTGTATGGGACCATTTTCTATCCACTTCTCTCATTGGGCAGGGTATATCGTCACACCTTTTCTGCCTAGAAATACTTTCCAAAGAGACTCTGGCAACACATTAACAGGACTGTCTACTCTTATATTTGTTCTCCCAGGAAAACAGAAGTACCTGTGTGCCAGCAGAAATGATTGCACCATCGATAAATTCCGAAGGAAAAATTGTCCATCTTGTCGCCTCCGGAAATGCTATGAAGCAGGGATGACTCTGGGAGGTACAATATTTTTCTTCCTCTTTCTCCTTCTTCCTTTCCCTCCCTCATTCTCTTATTCTCTCTTTAAACCAGATTTTCCTCTTTGATGCTTCCATGGAGGCCAGCCATGCTCTAGATACAGGCTGACCCCTTCATATCCTATGTGGCCATCAGCCAGCTGGTGCTTTTCTTTATCTTTAACCATGCCACACCGCACTGTGGGGCTCAGCATAGGAGCAGGAGTTGTGAAGCAGGGATCAGGACCCATCAGAGGGTGAGTGAGTGTGGACTTGACTATGAAGGGTTCCCCAGGGGACATAATGGTACTGACCTTCTGTTGTTAAATGGTGGCTAGGATGACAGAACTAAGGAATCCAGAACAGTCACAGGTGCAAGATGACCCAGGCACAGGCTGGCCCTGAAAACCCAGGAATATCCCTCAGTTAGCTGCTGCCTGTGTTGTGGAGTTGGCCACCTGGAATGAGAAGCTGCTTTTCTTTGGAGCCTATGACTAGGCTGCCAAGCAGAGCCAATTTCCTATCCCACATCTCCCAGGGATGAGCAGGCCTTTTAATCATTTCATTTTGTTTGCAAATCTATTGACCATTTCCAAAAGCATTTTTTTTTAGTAGCAGAGTAACTTGACAGAACAAAGATACAGCTCTTTCAAGGGTAATCCCCCATCGTAATGCTCTCTGTCCTTTATTCTATGTCTACCATAATTGTTGTCACTATTACAGAAAGGTTTGGCTGACACTTACATTTTCCCCCTTCAAATTCCTCATTTCTTCATGTTTATATCTACTCAGTGCCAGGGTCCTCTCTACTGCCTGCTGCTTCCAAAAACATGCACCTTTCATGAGAAAAACTAGCTTATTAGTCTACTTTGATTTGGAAATTTGAAGAAAGGCAAACCTGTTTCTGAACACCTGAAACTGTAGCCTCATACCTGATTACTTATTATCAGCCTGGAAAACCCAAGTTCCTATAATTCTGCCCTCTCACCTCCCCTTCTCAAGGCTGATTTAGAGTACTTGTTTATCATTGGCTTTCTGCAAGGTGCTTAATACCTTGTCTGCCTATGTGCATATTTACAGAAACCAACATGGTTGTTTTCTAACCATGTGTGGGTCTTCATGTGGGTAACTGTGTCCTCCCCTCCTCACAGGCTAGTGATAGTCTTTAAACAGACCAAAGTACTAAAAATGAATTAACGCAGATTCAGCTTGAGACAGCCTCTCAAGTAGTGTCTAGTACTCCTAGACATCGCAGCCAGATGCTCTGTGAGTGGTTTTCCAGGCAACCACATCAAATGAGATTCAAATAATATAAGAAAAGTCAACTTTGTTCTTCTTTGCTTGGCTTACTACAGAAAAATCCTATAATTGTGGTCTACAGTGGGGAGGAAGAAACAGGACTGGGTGTGGAGGGAGAGGGCAGAAAGATAGCCAGGAAAGTTGACAAAGGGGTTGACAAGATGAAGTGTTCTCCATATGAATGTTGTCACAACATTCATGGTGGGGGGTCACCCCATGGTGAGGGTTCTGATACTTTCGACTCTCAATTATTTAACCCTCTGTGAATTATGTATAAGATATGGGGGCTCCTAGATATGGAAAACTTTTGCTTAGTTTTCCATCTGCTGATATGAATTGCAAGCCGCTTTGACACAGGTAAAGTTTAATGGTAACAAAAGTCCTCATAACATTTGGGCCCAAATCATAAAATTAGTTTCATGTATCAGCTAACATCCTCTGTTATAAAGCAGACTGTGACATGATTACAGTGAATCTCTTTTGAAAAGAAGTTTGTGTATAACAATTTCACTATTCCATATAGCAGTCCGACATAAATCTGTAAATTAATTTCTTGAAGAGAGTGGTAAAGTAAGTTTTCAGATTGATTTATTAAAGTGTTCAAATTTGAATGGGCTTGGTCAATACAATGAAAAGAAGCTGAGAAGTGCTGTGGATGGCTTTGGTTCCAGTTCCCTTTTTACATTTACTGAGTGTCTGCTATGTACAAGGTACCATGCTAGGCAATAGAACTTCAGGCAGGCAAACTTCCAGAAATGTCCAAAAACTACAAGGATTCTTGATGTCCTGTAAATGATCTTGCCTTTGGAGTCAGGCAGACCTAGGTTAAAGGCCCAGCTCCATTATTCACTGTGCCCCTTCTAAGCTTCAATTTCTTCATCTGTAATTTAGACATACCATTCTTACAGAGCTATGATAGGGTCAGATGACATGATGAATGTGAACATGCTTGGTAAATGACAAAGTGCTAGACAAATGTGAGGACTTATTATAATAGTAAGGTCACTGGTAATTTAGCTGGTAAGGCTCTACACAGCACTTCCCAGTTGGCTTTAATCCTGAGTTACTTAGCATGCCCTATAATATGTAATAGCTCCAACAGGCAGACCATCACCAGAAATCATCTCAAAACAAAAGTACCATCAAGATCCTACTTGGAAGCTGATTCTAGTAATTAAGGGAATCATATATTATGTTCAAGTACCACATCAGTAAAAACCCAAATGTTTACCCTCTTAGACACCATTGTTTGAGAAACAAACCTTTCCATTTTGCTAAACTTATCTTCACATTCCTTGCTTCCCTGCTGCAAACCCTTCCCAGTTTATTGTTAACTTGCAAATTCAGTGTATACTATACCTTTACTCAAACAATGGAAAAAAGAAAGCAAGCATCAATACAGTGATCCTTCTGAATATATTGGTAATAGACATCCTTTTTCACAAGATGTGGGTTTAGCATCAACATTTTGATCACCTTGAAGGAGATTTTGGATAATTTTGTTTTATTTTTCCCATCACTCAATTTAAAATTGTATAATATCTTCCAAAACGGCAACTAAGAATGTAGCTTTGGTCAAATCCCTTCTCCCATCTGAGGCTCATTTTTCTCATCATAAAAACGAGGTAGTGGGCTTCACCAAGGACCTTTTAGGCACTACCATTTTGTGATTCTATGTCTAAAGTCACAGAGAAGGATTGTAGATGTATCAGCCCTTTTTTGGATTGTCTATTCACTGTTCCAGAGGTATAGATTAGTCTAGACTTGAGTGCATTGACTTGCATAGTAATTTTAGCTACCTCAAGTCACACCTAAATAAGATCTATCATGTATCTAGACTGTATGGATAAGTTATTGATGGAGTAGAGGGCAGAAGGACTGTCTTTATATCTTAGAGAAGCTGGCACTCTGCAGCTGATGGCTGCTTGGTCTTGATGCCTCAAGGTCTCTAATTTGGCTTTCTCTTTAGTGTTCCCTCTATGTTTGGTGATGGAATCTCCTCAGCTCAGAGATACTTAAAACACATACCCTTTTCCTTTTTGCTTCTAGGCCTATCTACCTGTTGATTCTTGTTATCTTAGCAGCTCTTGGTGTTTCTGAAAGGATCCTGGAGGTGGTTGGATTCTCAGAGTGGTTTCCTTAAAGCCTACCTTCAGGCTCTCAACTGCCCATCTACAACAAGGATAGGCCTTTCTTTGAACATGGTTCATTTCTGGCTGCTTTTGAAAAACCACATGTTGCTAATTGCTTCAATAATCTAACCTCCTTGCCTACATTTTGTTTAAGAAATTTTTTAAAAATATAAATGTCCAAAGAAGCACCTTCTCCCTGATGAATTAACTGCTGCTTTTTCACAGTTCATAATTAGAATAAATATACAGCCATTTCTTACTTTTCTTTGCACTTCTCAAGGATATACTCCCAGTTTCTAAGATGGAATAAGAAGGAAAGAATTACCTTTACCCGCCATATTCTTCCCTGACCCTTCCTTCCTTCTCATTTTCTCTCCTATTCCTCCCTAAACATTATTTCTTTCTGTGTTATGCAACTTTTGAGTTCTCAACCTTTAATAAATGGCTTTGGCCCCTGCCTACTCCCTCCTCTCCTGAAACATGGAAAATGGTAGGCCTTTTAGGAATTTCAGGTAACAGCCAAACCCCAGAAGAGGAGAAGAAACATGGAGCCCCAGAGCATGTGAGAATCTGAGGTGTGCAGCATTTTCTTCAGAGGTTACTCTAGCATATTTGAGAAGTCTCATTCTTACTAGGAGGCTGAACTCCACATCTGAGACTCAAAACTGTTAACAGATCTGTAGGTTTTAACAACCTCCATGATTCTCTAGTTGAGAGGATGGCCTGGTCTGATGTTGCCATGGACACTATGAACATCCTTGTCATTTCCAGTGTTGAAGTGTTGAAGCGTTGACGTCAGCTCTTTCATCTTTCCCCATGCTCACGAGCAGCCCACCATTGTTACTTCTGGATCACATGCCCTGGATGCAAGAGAGTGATTCCAATGCTGAAATACCATTTCATGGCTTGGTTCTTCAGCAGAAAAGTTTCACAACATTTATTCATCCATCAAACTATCCATTCATCTTTCCAACCAGCCAACTAGCTATCCCTTTCATCTTTCCATCCATTCACTCATATATTTATCCCTTTAACACATATTAATTGAGTGCCAACTATGTGCCAGCTTCTGTGGTAGGCATTTTGGGGGAACATAGGTGAATGAGATACAATCCCTGCCTTCAGAAAGTTAAACAAGGGGAGACAGACCGTGATAACTAATACACCTTAACTTTAAAGGCTAAATAGGAAATGAAGAAGCTGGGAAGAAGTTTAATGAGGTAGAGGGAAAGGACATTCAAGGCAAAGGGCACAGTTTGAATAAAGGCAGAAAGACATTTAAAAAATTCATTGAGGTTTTGAGGAATAGCACAAGTAGTTTAATATGGCCAGATCTGGAGAAAGGGGGAAGGCAAGCTGAAACCACACTGAAAATGTACTTGGTTATTATGCTAAAAGGTTTGAACTTCAGGCAGTTGAAGAGCTATGACACGGAATAGACATGTTCACATACCATTTTGTTTATTTGCATGCTTGTTTTTTAAGAGAATTAGCGATGACATGAATGCTGTATAGATGAGGGCTTAAATTTTATAAAAAGAGATAGTATGCTAGGTAGAGAGAGAGAAAGAAA